GAGATTGCCTAGCTTTCTCCAGGTGGAGCAGCTGGTGGATTCGAACTTTGTACTTTAGAGGACCACACAAATCACACTTCACCTGGAATGGAATGGCAGCTGAAGTGCAAGAGATAGAAGTGAATCACCTTTTCTGGCAAACCATAAAATAAGTGAATTTTCTTACAAACCCTCGGGTAACCTTCGCAGCAAAGCATATATACATTTATGCAAGGTGCCAGGGAAAATGTTTGAGGCAATCACTAGGCTCACCACCCAGAGAAACATCACCAGCATAATCCTAATTGAAAAGAAAGATTTACCCCTTTGGGTCCTTGCTAAACCTCTGTATTTCCAAATATAAAATACGTCCGGCACTGTTTACTGTTCCTTCAGATTTGCCAACATCTCCCAAGAGTGGACTCATGGCTCTCCAGAACTAAAGAAACAGCTGAGTCTAAGGAAAACACTCCCTCTCAAGCTGTAAGAACAGGCTCTGAAACGGACTCCAGAGTTGATTGAACAAGGAAACACATAAGGATGGATGTCTGTGAGCCCTGTGGCTACGTGAGCAAGTAACAGGCAAGAAGCTGCACTGCAATCCCGAAGGCAGCAGTTCGAACCCATCAGCTGCTCTGTGGGAGAAGGATGGGCAATCTCCTCCCACATAATTAACTGCCTCTGAAAACCCCTAGAGGGTTAGCTTATGGATCAGTTCTGACTCTACAGTACACAGTATTTTTTTAAACATATTTTTTTAAAAGGGGGAAAAAAAAACCCCAACCAGCCAGTTTTGTCTTAGACTATCTTGGTAGGCCACAACATGGAAGAAAACCAAAAATGAAACTCAGAAATTATGTAGCAAGTTCTAGGAGTTGTAAGAGGACAAGAACTTTATTTACCTTAGGTTATAGTACCAGAAAATGATGAGTTTGTAAAGAAAAAGTGAAATGCTTTGCATGGTCTTAAAATCAAGTAGAGCAATCACAATGTTTTCCCCTAGTATCATTATCTTTCCCTCTATTTGTTCCTTCTCTTGGTTCCATACAAGTAATGAAATGAACTTAAGTTTTAGCCATAGGCTTGGAGCAAGAGCAGGGAAAGCTTTAATTGCTGAAGCCACGCTGATGAGGATGCTGGTCTCCACAGTCAAGTGGCTCTAGACATTCTCACCAACCCGCAAGGCAGGACATGCACCATAGTCACAACTGAATGTAGTACCAGATTACCACCAGGACATTACTGAACTGCTCGGCCACACCAGGAAGCAGATAGAGCCCTACATAAACCAGATAGCTGGTTTGCTGTGGCCTCCTGATTTCCCTCCTTCCCCTCTAACTGGCAGGGGCTTCACTGTGACACTCTCTTTGCTGGGTACAGAGTTGTTCTGTCATGTTTGCCTCTGTTGTTGCTGTGGCCTGTGCCTCCAGGTGCAGCAGTAGTATTGCCTGTCTTATCAAACCTAGCTGTAATATCTCCTCCTCTGGGCCCTCATCGATGGTGTGGAAGAGGGGGGCATGCTAGATTGTAAGGGTCCACATCAAAGGGTTCATTTTATAAGAACGTTTGGGTGAGGCTGAATATGGGACCTGCTGGCTGTTAGCTCACTCCTGCTCGCTGAGTGATGTAAGTTATGTGATGCCAAGTAGCGCACTACTTGTTAGAATGGCATTAGAGACTCAAAGCCTTGGCCACATGCCATCTCCTCTCACCAGATATATAAACACTCTTGTTTCCCTCTACGGACATAGAGACTGGGTCTAGCCCTACCACCACCCAGGATCCCACCTCAGTAAACAACCCTTGAATAAATCCCCTATGTTACCATCATGGACAAGGCTTCATTCAATTGTTCATAAGATCACTTTGAGCCATAGTCAATGAAATAGCACCCAACAACAGTGATTATCATCATGGAGTTGTAGCCTCTTTCTTGGTCTCTTGACATCTTATGACAAATTTCAAGTTACTGATCCAGTGTTTTGTTCACCAAGACAGGCAAGCTATTTGCACTGATGTTGTTCATCTAATGGGTGAGGATAATGATAATGGTAACAACCTACTTTCTATTAGTGTTAATTGACAGGTTATTCACGGAAGTTGATTTCCTGGAACTAAATTCATCGGGTCAAGATCTCAGTCCCATAATGGGTCCAGTACTTGCAGTAACTAACAAATCCTCTAGATTCTTGTGTATGCTGTTTTTCATTTTGTTCAATTGTAAGACTAGCGATTCTAGGCTCTATGTCTCAAAAGATGACTTCTAGTGACGTCGATGCTCTGTGGAGAATAGTTAAGAGAGTCTAGCTCACTGAGCTTCAAGAATAGTAACATTAACATAACTAATCATCTAGTGTTATGCAGCATTGCCAATACTCATTTATTCTACATAAAAAATTTTCTAACAGTGATGTCATAAGTTGTATAAAACCCCTGTGCTTTGATTTTAGTTGAATCAACACAAGAATGAATTGACCTTCCATAATGTGATAGCCCATTTTCTGCTTTTTATCCTGGGGCTAACTTCTTGGTATCAAACTAAAACGAGTTGAAGAGCGTAAGCTGACCAAATAAAGTGAAAACATTTTTAATTGAATGATGAAATATTGAATAGTAGAAAAATAAACACATAGCATGAACTTTAGAAGTTGGAATGAAGAAAACTTCTAATTGAAGGGAACTTAAAAGTGAATGTTCCTTTCTAAATGCTGTTAGTGGGTTTCTTGATCCTCTAACCAAGTCGTGTCAACAATGACAGAAGATATGCAAATTTCCGCAGACAACAGTCATGTTAAACTGTCTGACTCATACCACCTGGGACATTTTCAGCACAGAGCTTGTTTCACTCCAGCAAGGGTCAAGGCCACCAAACAATATTTGAATAGTTATTCTTGGCTACGACCTGTAAACTATATCACAATCATTGAACCTAAACAAGAGTCAAAGTTAATTACACAAAAATTAACGTCTGAAATATTTGCATAACTTAAACCCAGTAGAATCTTGTGCTTACTTTATCAAGTCTGAATAATTGCACAGTGACGTGAAATACACATAGCTTTTTAAAACATCATTTTAATTATAAGTTCCAAGCAAAAAACCTCCTTCTTATGAGGTGTAACAATTTGTTTTCTGAGGACAATTTATTTAAGACAGTCTAAGATATCCCTCTCTATCCCCTTAAAAAAAATCAGATTTACATATAAAGGTCACTTCTCTTGGAAGAATTATGCATTATGAATGGCATATTGGGAATAGTGTTAACTATTTTAGAAATCCATTTGTTGTATGGAAGTAAATGTTGCCAAAGGAGAAGAGTTTTATGTTATATTCCTATCACTGCAGGTGAATCAAACTAAACGAAACACACAACCATCCTGAAATTTAAGGTACAAATAAAATTCTCTTTGCTTCCCCACCTGCATGTTTATTGATTTCACTTGTAACCTGTAAGAGAAAGCACAAGTATAATTCCAGGTTTGGAACTCTAGAACTATCATGTTTCAGTTAATATGGCAAAATAAAATAATAGTGATCTTAGTTCAGTCCCTAGTGGACAAAAGTAGCATAACCATTACCCAGCATGAATCAGCAGGCGGGGATCTGAGTGTGACACTGGGACCAAAAAAAGGAACATTTGTCTCTTCCTATCTTTTATCTTCTTAATAGTTTGCACCATCAACAGACTATGTTACAGATGATGGACTGCCTTCCGACCAGACGCACCAAGCAAATCAATTGGCATAGAAGCTTTTCACAAATGAAGACATTGCCACCCTTCTAATGACATAGTCAATTGAATGCATTTATTCTTCACTGCTTACCTGTTACCCAATTAGTCAGAAAGCAAACTGAGATTTAACTGCAGAAACTGCTTATGTGTTCTAATAGGTGTATTGTCAACAAAAATACTTCTCAGTGATTCATAGATAAAGAACACAACAAGCTTTTCCATCTGAACTCTATAAACTGGGATTAAATGCATAGCCAACACTACGGTTCATCTGGATATCAAGATTCCCCAGTGATTCTGGGTCTGTGCCTTCTAAGTCCTGGGCTGTTCCCCAGGAGGAGAGTCAGCCTGCTGTGTTCAACCCAGATCTGCAGGTGCATGCAGCGAAGAACCAATCACCACTGCTCATTCCTCCCTCCACCCTGCGCAAGCTACCCCTTCCTGATGAATTCACATTGAAATGAACTTTCTCAATGAATAGTCTCCGGTGCAGAAGAGAAATATGACAGAAACCACTGCTCTACTATTCTACCACTTACTAAAATGGCACTTTATACATTCATTCCGTTTTATACCATTTCGTGAAATATATGAAAGCAGAAACGAGGCTGCCTCTTTCTTCCAAATGTCTGCTTTTGACAGCATGCACTCAACACTTTTCTCTCTCTCTTCTGATTGGAAATTATTTTCATTTTCTTCTCTTACAGGTTTCCATCTTCTACAGGTTCCACCTCCACCAGGTTTGCTTGTATTTTATATTTATCCTTACTTCACGTTACTTTTACCAGAGGTTTAAAAAAATAATAATTTTTTTAAATTGTTATGATTTCCATCCAAGCTACACAAAACTTCCTGGTGCAAAATACAGTAGATCTCACATCAGAATTGACACGATTTTCCTTTTTTTTTTTTTTTAATCAACCACTTGCTCAAGACACATTGGTTTCTCTTTAAAGAGTTGGGTTTTCATAATCAGTCTTACACAAGTTCAAGCACACACACAACTCTGCAAAAAGCCAGGAATGTCATAAAATATGCCACCTCCGGGAACACACCAATAAGGCTCCAGCATTTACTTTCATCAAAGTGTAAAAACTCCAAAAACCTTGGCGTCCAGGCGCCTGGAAAAGCAGACCAGCCCTTTTTGCATTTGCAAACACTGCCCCCCTGGAGCCCAAGGTAAAAGGCACACATTGCCCCTGTCCGGAGCTCTAGGTTTAGTTTAGCAGCCTTGCAAGAAAAGGGCAAAGACGCCCCATGCAACTAGAAACTGAAAGCAGTCACTTACTTTTTGCAGCCACTGAGTATAATTTTCCATCACATGCTCCAGATGCTGGAGTTTCTGGGACGAGAAGTCGGGCTCCACGTGCGGGGCATCTCGCTGCAGGGCGTTGGTGTTGTACTGGTCTGTCGGGCTCTCCCGACAGTTCCCGTCGTGTTCAGGAAGAATGAAAGTGTAGGCACACTGCCCATGCTGGATCCGGTTGTATCTTCTCCCGCCGTTCTCGGGACTCCGGCGCTGGTTGCTGCACCCTATGTGAGTCAAAATAGCAGCGAGGAAAGCAAAGGAAAGGAAAACTGTCATTGTACTGCCAGCGCTCTCCTTCCGTGTCTCTCGCCAAACGTGCTCCTTTCTTCTGCCCTGTTAGACCAGTTCTTTTATTTTCAGGTAAAACTGCTTGTTGGTTTCACTGTTTCCCCCTCCAAGGAGACTTTGGAAGAAGAGTCATAGAAAACTAGCCATTTGGTAGTTTTGCTCTAAAAAATGTTGTATATATATATTATTTCTTTTATTTGACTGCAATCATCTTTTCCTTAGTTAAAACTTGAGATATTTATTGCATAGTAGCTGAGATTTATTGTTTCCTCCCTGTAACAGTGGAGCGTGGAGCCTGCCTGAGTCAGCTGCATGTACATATTCTAGACCCTTTCCTCTGCCCTATCTGCTGCAGATCTGCTATTTTCTCCCAGACCTCAGTGAGTTTTATTAAGGTTGCACATCCAAGCCAAGCTGGAAGCAGGCAGCTTTTCACAAGATGACTTGACAGGAATGCTTGAATGTGCCCCTATGCGAGGGATTGCCGATGGCTCTGGGCGGCGGATCGTCTTACAAATTGGCTGGAGGCGCATGACCTCAATCAAGTGTGGCCCGCCCGCCCCTTCCGCAGACAATTGCCTGCAGCCGCGAGCAGATTCAGGGGGAAAAAAATCAATAAATAGCGCGGTCCACCTTAACACACTTTTGGTGTGTGCGCGCTGACCCACTAAAATCTAGCAAACTAACAGTGGCTTGCGTCTGTGTTAATTAGAGAACCCTAAGGGGGGAAAACACACACAACCCTAGGTATAATGTCAGAGGAAATTATTTTTTGACACTGCATGAGAAATCTGTAGACTTATTAAAATTTTTTATAGAACATTTATTCTTGTTTCGGAGGGAAAGATAAGAAAACCACTTTCAGAAATACTTTTCTTTCAGTGTATCCATTAGACTGTGAAGAAGTGGATAAAATAATCAGAGAGGGTCAAATTACAAAAAAAAAAAAAAAATTAAACGTGCCCCTCAAAGAATGTAGAGTGAGTCTCACACACACAGAAGCGGTTTTTCTGGAATGGGGGTTTAAATTAGACGGTTTCTCTGATCAGAAGGCAGCCCTGAGTGTTGTGTGTTTACAAATTGAGCAACTTCCTTAGAAGAGCAATGTGGTTGTGATTTTAAATAGCGGCCTGAGAATTATTCATCTAAGTCATGTGCTTCCCTGACTCTGTGTCTGGGCTTGCTATGGCTTTCTTTAACCGTGGTAGGGGACTTCCAGCATCCGTCCTTGTCGTCCTGGGGCTCCGTGCTCTGGGAACAAGCATTCATCAGGTGTGCCCATGGACCAGCAAAGGACTGTCAAGGAGACATCCATCTTCCAGTCGGAACCAACTCAGAGTTGAACCTCCAGCTGGTTTTGCGAGGCAGTAAATCCCACGGGAGCAGCCTGCCCATCTTTCTTCACAGAGAATCTCATGTCTTTAGGCTGGCTTAGTTCCCACTAAGTCACCAGAGCTCCCTATCTATCCCAGAAGAAACACCATCAGAAGCTAATTTCCCAAGTACCAGGTGCAAATATTTCGGTAAAGGTCCCAGGCAATAACTCTAGGCGTGTAGGAAGCAGCATTGAGGATTTCACTGGATGTGTGCAAAAAACATGCATTATGAACAAGGATTTCCCTCAGGGCTTGCAAGGAAATCTCAGACTGTGGTCCTGATGTTAAAGTAGAAGCCTCCTCTCTTCTGGAAGGGGAAGGGCCGAAGGTGAAGGCCGCCAGAGGTGGGCATTAAGGGACAAGTGAGAGGGTAAAACTTTCCAGGAAGAATGTGATTTACTTAAGGGACAAATGAAGTGCTGAAATTCACCAGTCCTCTCCACACCAGTAAAAGATTGCTGATTTGACAGATATGGAAGCAAGTTATGCCAAACACAGCAAAGAAATCTTTGAGCCACCTTCACAACCTCCTCTTATGTTATTGCCTGTCTATAAGCTGGTTCATATGTCACTCACATGGAATAATATTACAGTAATGATGCTTATTGGGAGCTAAGCATGTCTTCCACTCAACTCATTTAAGCATCCAACAACCTGATGATGTAATTATTGTTGACCGGGAAACTGAACTGCAGAAAGGCTCATTGGCCACAGTCGCATGTCACATCACACAATCACAGTCACATCACAGAAGGAGAAAATGTCAACATGTGAACACGGATTAGCTGTCACGGAGCCTCTGCTTTGTCAGCCTGCCTTTGGAAACCTTCGAGAAGACTGGATAACTGTAGAAGAGAGTGGCTTGATTGAAGAGATCCAGGTGGCTTGATTTACAGGAAATTGTGACACCTAGAAAAATGATTGACTAAAAACTATTTCATGCATCCTTAATTAATTAATTCACACACCCAAAGTGATAGAGAGTTGGACAGGGGAGGACAGGGAGGACAGGGAAAAGAAAAGAGAAAAAGGAAAGAGTGAGGGAAAAGAGGAAGGAAGGAGAAAGGCAGGTGCATGGAATGACTTATTTAATGAAAGACTCACGAAATTCCTTGGAATACATAGATTGCCTAATAATATTTTCCAATAGTATTTCCCGTTAAATTTATCTATTAAAAAGTCAAGCATGACTCACAGTGACACTATGAACAACAGATCTGGACTTTGTCCTATCCTTTCATTCTCCTCATCTCTGACATACTTGAGCCAGTCACTGCAGTCATTATGACACTCCATCTTGTTGATGGTCTTTCTTTCACTGACCCTCCACCTTTCCAAGCATAATGTCCATTTCCAAGGACAAAATTCCCAAAGTATGTGAAAAGAAACTTCATCATCCTTGTCTTCAAGGAGCACTTCAGCTGCATCTTTTCCAAGACATGCCTATTGGTTCTGGCAGTTCACAGGATATTCAGTACACTTCCCAGGCACCACAACTCAAACTTTTCTTTTGTTCTCTTTGCTTACTGTCTTCAAGTTACAAATGCATAGCAAGGGATTGAAAAGACCACAGTCTGAATCAGGTGCACCTTAGTCTTAAAACAGATCTAGTTGTTCCTTAACACCTTGGACTGGTCCTTGACAGCAGATTTACCCAATGCAATATGTCTTTTGATTCTGTGACTCCTGGTGCCAGAGATGTTGATTGTGGGTCCAAGCAAGATGTAATTGTTAACAACCTCAGTCTTTTCTCCATCTATCATCATGTTGCCTGTTGACCCAGTGGTAAGGATGTTTGTTTTTGTGATACTGAGATTTAATTCACATTAAAGAATTGATATCGATATTGATCTTCTTCAGCAAATATTTCAAGTCCTCTACTTTCAGCAAAGTTATGTCATCAGCATAAGGTAGATTATTCATTAGTCTTCCTTCTACCCTGAGGCCATATTCTTCCTCATAAAGTCCAGCTTCTCAAATGATTTGCTCAGCAAACAGATTGTGTAAGTATGGAGAAAAGATATACGCCTGATACACATCTTTCTTCATTTTAAGCCTTTCAGTGTTCCCTTGTTCTTTTGGGACAATATCTTGGACTAGGAATAGATTTTTACATGAGTATATTTAGGTCCTGGGATTCTCATTCTTCTCAATGTTAGCTGTACTTTGTTATGATCCACACACAGGTCCTTTGCATAGTCAATAAAATACAAATTGTTGTTGTTGCTTGTGTACTGGAGAGTTGGATCCAATCTATAGTTAACCCTCCAGTGGGTTTCCAAAGGCAGTCAATCACACTTTCTCCCACAGAGCAGCTAGTGGCTTTGAACCATGTGCCTTTGGGATTGCAGCACAGCTTCTTGCCACTAGGTCATTGTAAAAAGAGCAAGAGCCATTTGGGAATGGCCATATCTGATCTCTACCAACTTCACAATGGGGAACTGTCCCCGTCTACAGCAACAACAACACAAAACCAGTTTCCATGAGGTAAAAGGTGTCTCCCAAGCTCCTGCACCTCTTTCTACTCATTTAAATATTAATCTTCCTACTTTACTTGGTCTAAAATCCTATGCAATAGCTCATAGAGCACACAGAACCATATTTGATAAGATAAAAGTTTACAAGCCAGGTTAATAGCAGAGTACAGTCTGGATGGCTTCTGAAACATGCTCACTGGCACTCAGCCTTGAGCCTTGTGGCTTTAGGCTAGTGTTTCAAAGCTCTCAGTTCTGTGAATTATGCCCCCACCCGCCATTGTCCAACAAACTTGGCCAAAGGATCTTAGCTCTAGTTCCAATGGTGTAGAAGTCCCAAGGTCCCATTTCATCTCTGGCGCTCTGCCATGGCTGCTGGTCCTATAGGCCCTCTTGCCTGCTTTTTTTCATGGTGGTGAGGTTTCTTCTAGTTCTGAATCCACTCAATTTCTTGGCAAGACTAGCCAATCCCCTTGTAGATAGTCTAACATAGTCTATTTGCATATTCCCACCCATCCACATGGCAAAGTCAAATTCAATGGAGAGGAAAGTATTTTGAATAATAAACTCCCTAAAAGTCTTCTGGTATTCTCCTCTGCTGTCAGTCAGGATCCATCTGACATTAGCAGTGATATCCCTTGTGTCCCAGCTTGAATTTCTGACAGTTCTCTGTCAATGAACTGTTCTAGTTAATTTTGTATGATCTTCAGCAATATTTTCCCTGCATGTGATATTAATGATACTATTTGATAATTTCTACAGTCTATTGGATCACCTTTCTTGGGAATGGTAACAAATATGGATTATTTCCAAACAGTTGATCTGGTAGCTGTCATCCAAGTTTCCAGCACAGTCTGGTAAATTTGTCCAGGGCTGCATTTGTTAGTTGAAACTCTGGGGCTCCATTTTGCTGCACTAGCCATAGGCCTCAGCCAGGAAATGAAAACAATCAAGTTCAAAACCAACACCTCTGAACACTTTGTTAAGAACTAAATGCTACAGAAAATAGACACTGGGCAGCAGGAGGAGCAGCGAGGTCCCTATTCAAACGTTCCATATATCTAAACAGTAAAATGTGTTAAAAATAATAAATACCATTTTAACAGAGCTTTTCTTCTAGATGTGTATGTTAGAAATAGAAAAAGAAATAACTATTTTGTGCTTGTCCTGGGAACAACCGTCCATTCTGAACAACTGAGAACAAGGAATGAAAAATTTCCTGCAGGAAAAGTGGGCAACTAAGAAAGGAAGCCTGTAATCGTAAGTGAAAAACAAAAGCAAAAAGTGAAGAATTAGAGAGACAGAAGAAACAGGCAGAAAGATCAGTTTATTTCTTTTACAGAAGCAAACAGAAAGGCACTGGGAATATAAATTTAGAAAAGGTGTGTGAAGATGAGTTTTAAGCAATTGTAAGTTAAAAGGACATGAAGAATCCACTCACGTTTCCCTGGCATGCCGGCAAAGGAGAGACTGGTTCATTTAAAATTCTAATGGCAACCTAATGACTCTATATTTTCAAAAAAATCACCTCAGCCACTACAACACTGTTGTTCATGATTGTTAATTATTTAGAAACTGTGCACAATCGAAGGAAGGGACTTATAGGAGCTCTGGTGGCCTAGTGGTAAGAAGCTGCACTGTAATCCCAA